AAGACTTATAGAGACTTACACAGTATTCAAGACTGTGTATTATTGTTGTAAAGATAGAAAAATAGAGCAAAACAATAGAATTGAGTGGTCTGGACTGAATGTGTCCTACTCAAAATTTATATGTTGAAACCCTACTGCCCAATATGATGGTATGAAGAGGTGGGACCTTTAAGAGGTGATTAGGTTTAGATGAGGTCGTATGGGTGGCGACCTCATTAATGGAATTAGTGCACTTATGAAGTCATGAGAGAGCTTGCTTTCCCTCCTTGTTCTCTGCTATGTGAAGATACAGCAAGAAGTAAACCGTCTACAACTTGGAGAGGGCCCTCAGCAGAACCCTACCATGCTGACACCTTCTCTTGGACTTCTAGCTTCCACTATGAGAAAAATATTTTTGTGGTTTATGAACCACCCAGTTTATCGTGCTCTGTCATAGCAGCCCAAACTGACTATGACAAGAGAGTCTGAGAAAAAGACCCCACATATTATGCACACTGATTTTTAACAAATGTATGAAGAAAATTCAGTGGGTCAAGGATAGTCTTTTCAATAAATGGTGCTCGAACAATTGCATATGCAGATGGAAAACAATAAACTCCAATCTGTACTTCATGTTATATGTAGAAATTAACTCAAAACGGATCATAGCCTAAACATAAGACCTAAAGCTATAATAACATTTCTTATAAATAGAATAAAGTCTGTGATATTAAGTCAGGTAAAGATTTCCTAGGTATAACACCAAAATCCATAAAAGAAAACTAAAACTGGGCACAGTGGCTCCTGCCTCTAATCATAGCACTTTGGGAGGCTGAGGCAGGAAGATCACTTGAGGTCCAGACCAGCCCTGGCAACACAGCGAGTCCCTGTCTCTACAAAAAATTTAAAAATTAGCTGGACATGATGGCACATGCTTATAGTCCCAGCTACTTTGGAGACTGAGGTGGAAGTTTTGCTTGAGCCGGGGAGCTTGAGGCTGCAGTGATCTGTGATGGCCCCACTGCACTCCGGCCTGGGTGACAGAGTAAGACTCTGTCTCAAACAAAAAGGAAAAGAGGCCGGGCACGGTGACTCACACTTGTAATCCCAGCACTTTGGGAGGCCGAGGCAGGCGGATCACGAGGTCAGGAGTTCGAGACCAGCCTCAGCAACACAGTGAAACCCCGTCTCTACTAAAAATACAAAAAATTAGCCGGTGTGGTGGCAGGTGCCTGTAATCCCAGCTGCTTGGGAGGTTGAAGCAGGAGAATCGCTTGAACCCGGGAAGTGGAGGTTGCAGTGAGACAAGATCACGCCATTGCATCCAGCCCGGGAGACAGTGCAAGACTCCGTCTCAAAAAAGAGAAAGAAATTCAACTTCAGCAAAATTAAAAACTTCTGCTCTTCAAAAGACACTGTTAAGATAATGAAAAGACAAGTCACCAACCAGGAAAGAACATTTCAAAGGATACATCTCAAAAATAAGTTGTACTCAGAATATGTAAAGAACTCTTACAACTCCATAAGAAGACAAACATCCAACAAAAAATGGGCAAACTATCTGAGCAGTTGCTTCACCAAAGAAGCTATACAGATGACAAATAAGCACATGAAAAGATGCTCAACGTTATTAGACATTAGGGAAATGCAAATTAAAACCACAATAAGTTACCACTATGAAGCCACTATAATAGGAAATTGTTGTCAAAGATATGAAGAAACTGGAACTTCATACACTGCTGGTGGGAATACAAAATGATACCCATCAGTTTGGAAGTTTCTCAAAAAGTAAAATATTTATCTATCATATGATCCAGCCAACTCCTAGGCATTTACCCAAGAGGAAAGTAAACATATGTTTATATAAATACTTGTACATTAACATTCATAGCAGAGTTATTTGTAATAGCAAAAAACTAAAGCAATCCAAATGTCTATCGATGGGTAAATAGACAAACTGTGATCTATCCAAACAATGGCACACTACTTACAGTAAATAGCAAAGAACTATTGACACACAACAGCATGGATGAATCTCAAAATAATTATGCTGAGTGAAAGAATCCAGAAAAAAAATAAGGCACACTGTAGTATTTCATTTATATAAAACTCTAGAAGCTGCAGACTAATCTATAGTGATGAAAACAGATCAATCATTACCTGGGGAGGAGTGGCTAGAGAGGGGCAGAAGGACAGGGGTACAGGAAACTTGTGTGGGTGATGAATATATCCCCTATCTTGTGTGGTGATTGCTTGACAGTATATACATATGTCAAAACTTACCAAACTGTACACTTCAAATACATGCAGTTTATTGTATATCAATTATATCTCGATAAAAGTGTTTAAAGACAAAAGTGATAGTTTGGCAAGAACTTGAAGGAAGTGAGAAAATTCACCTTGTGGATAACTAATGGGAGATTTTTGAAAAATTATTAACAAAATCTGTGCAGAGACATTTGGATTTTTTGTTTACCCAGAAATTTTACCTTCTTCTGGTGTAACAGCACCTTCTATATCGGTTAGGATTTGTATTGGCTGCAAGTGACAGCAAATTCAACACAGTAGGAACTTAGGCAAGTTAAAGTTTAATTTTTCCCTTCCATAAATCTAGGCAGTTTAGGGTTGGTATGACGACGGGCAGGCAGACTCAGGAAATGCTGTCTTTATTCTTTCTTTCTTTCTTTCTTTTTTTTGAGACAGAATTTTGCTCTGTCACCCAGGCTGGAATGCAGTGGTGCCATCTCGGTTCACTGCGACCTGTACCTCCCGGGTTCAAGTGATTCTCGTGCTTCAGTCTCACAAGTAGCTGGGATTACAGGTGCCTGCCACCACGCCCAGCTAATTTTTGTATTTTTAGTAGAGACAGGGTTTCACCATGTTTGGCCAGGCTGGTCTCGAACTCCTGACTTCAAGTGATCCACCCGCCTCAGCCTCCCAAAGTGCTGGGATTACAGATGTGAGCCACCGCACCTGGCCCCAATTTCTTAAAATAAGACAGCAAAGATGTTTGCCACCTGAATTGACTCTACCTTTCATGAAAGATTTCTCTAGCATGTGATGTTGCTTGATAGCATTTTACTCGTAATAGAACTTCTTTCAAAATTGGAGCCAGTCCTCTCAAACCCTGCTGCTGCTTTATCAATGATGTTTATGTAATATCTAAATCTTTTGTTGTCATTTCAACAATGTTCACAGCATCTTCATCCAGGAGTAGATTCCATCTTGAGAAACTACTTTCTTTGCTCATCCATAAGAAGCAACTCCTCACTGTTCAAGTTGGATCATGAGATTGCAGCAATTCAGTCCCATCTTCAGGCTCCACAATTTTTTTTTTTTTTTTTTTTTTTGAGATGGAGTTTCACTCTTATTACCCAGGCTGGAGTGCAATGGCACCATCTCGGCTCACCACAACCTCTGCCTCCTGGGTTCAAGCAGTTCTCCTACCTCAGCCTTCTGAGTAGCTGGGATCACAGGCATGCACCACCATGCCCGGCTAATTTTGCATTTTTAGTAGAGATGGGTTTATCCATGTTGGTCAGGCTGGTCTCGAACTCCTGACCTCAAGTGATTCGCCCACCTCTGCCTCCCAAAGTGCTAGGATTACAGTCGTGAGCCACCGTGCCTGGCCTCCACTTCTAATTCTAGTTCTCTTGCTCTTTCCACATCTGCAGTAACTTCCTTCACTGAAGTCTTGAATCCCTCAAAGTCATCTGTGGTGGTTCGATCAACTTCTTCCAAACTCCTGTTAATGTTGATATTTTGACCTCCTCCTATGAATAACCAATTTTTTTAGAGGTAGGGTCTCACTACGTTTCCCAGGCTGGAGTACAGTGGCTATTCACAGGCACAGTCATGGCACACTGCAGCCTTGAATTCCTGGCCTAAAGTAATCCTCCTGCCTTAGCCTCCTGAGTAGCTACGTGCATGCCACCGGATCAGACTTATGAAGGTTCCCAATGGCATCTAGAATAGTGAATCCCTCCCAGAAGGAGTTCTATTTACTTGTCCAAATCTGTCAGAGGAATTGCTATCTATGGCAGCTATTGCCTTATGAAATGTATTTCTTAAATAAGACTGAAAATTTTGAAGTAAATCAAAATAACTTCTTTTTTTTTTTAGACAGTGTCTCACTCTGTCACCCAGGCTGGAGTGCAGTGGTACAATGTCAGCTTAGTTCAGCCTTGACCTCCTAGGCTCAGGTGATCCTCAGCCTCCCTGGCAGCTGGGACTACAGGTGCACACCACCACCACTCCTGGCTAATTTTTGTATTTTTTGTAGAGATGGGTTTTCGCCATGTTGCCCAGGTTGGTCTCGAACTCCTGGGCTCAAGCAATCTGCCTGCCTTGGCCTTCCAAAGTGCTGGGATTACAGGAGTGAGCCACTGCACCCAGCCCCAAGTTACTTCTTGATGATCCATGGGCTGCAGAATGGATGTTGTAAGCAGGCATGAAAACAACATTCATCTCCTTGTATACCTTCATCAGAAGTCTTGGGAGACCAGGTGCATTGTCAAGAGCAGTAATATTTTAAAAATAACATATTTTTCTTAGCGGTAGGTCTCAACAGTGGGCTTAAAATATTTAGTAAACCATGCTGTAATCCTATGTGCTGTCATCCAGGTTTTGTTGCTCCATTTACAGGGCACAGATAGAGTAGATTTGGCATAATTCTTAATTGCCCTAGAATTTTCAGACTGGTAGATAAGCATTGGCTTCAACTTAAAGTCACCAGCTGCATTAGCCCCTAACAAGACAGTCAGCCTGTTTTTTGAAGATTAGAAGCCAGGCATTGATTTCTCTCCATCTATTAAAGTCCTAGGTAACATCTTTCCCAATGTAAGACAGTTCTGCCTACCCTGATAATCTATTGTTGGCCAGCCGTGGTGGCTCATGCCTTTAATCCCATCACTTTGGGAAGCCAAGGCCAACAGATCGCTAGAGTTCAGTCGTTTAAGACGAGCCCTGGGTGGGGGGCGGGGAGCTGCGTGACCAGCGGCGGGTCACGTGATGCAGCACGCGCCGGACTTCCCAAGATGGCGGTTTGCATCATGATGATCACCAAGAATTACCCCTTCTACATTAGCAGCACCCCCACGGAGAACGAGCTGAAGTTCCACTACATGGTGCACACATCTCTGGACATGGTGGATGAGAAGATCTCCGCAATGGGGAAGGCCCTGGTCGACCAGAGGGAGCTGTACCTGGACCTGCTCTACCCCACGGACGACTACAAGGTATACGGCTACATCACCAACTCCAAGGTGAAGTTTGTCATGGTGGTGGATTCCTCCAACACAGCCCTTCGAGACAACGAAATTCGCAGCATGTTCAGGAAGCTACACAACTCCTACACGGACGTGGTGCAACCCCTTCTACAACCCCGGGGACTGCATCCAGTCCAGGGCCTTTGATAACATGGTGACGTCCATGATGATACAGGTGTGCTGAATGAGCTGTGCTGCCGGCCATCGCAGAGGATCCCACGCGCGACCGTGGTAGCCGTCGGTCTGTTCTCGTCGCCTCTTCCTGAGTGGGACGCCTGGGGCTTTCAAGGCAGGCAGCTGTGCATGTTCTCTCAACTAAAGATCTTGTGAGATGAGATTTGGCTTTTTCCTTCCGTGTCAGCCAGGGATTTAACTAAAAAGAATTCAACTAAGGACTTTCAGGGGTGTGGGCAGAGGTTTAGGATTAGATGGTGCAGGAAGCCTGTCCCCAGTTGTCCCGAAGGGGCAGGGGCAAGGACGCCTGGAGCCAAGAGTTCCTGAGCCTGCAGGACCTGTGACCATGTGGGTCGCCCATTGGCTGAACAGGTGGACTGGTCTGGAGGGGGCGGCCTCCTGAGCCCAGAACCAGCCTAGGATCTAGGGGCAAAAGGGGAGCCAGCGTGCCTTCCCACAGGGGAGGGCCCTCCTCTTTCTGGACTTGGCCTCCATTCTTTGCATCTGGCCCAATGTCTAGACTCAGCCTGGCCTGAAAAGAACCCTTGTGAAACCTGGGAAGCCTCGTGGCCCCGTGGCATTGGCTCAGCTGCAGCCCTCATCCTAAACCCTGGAGCGCAGACTTGAGGCGCCCCTTCCTGCCTGTTGGTGCTGAGGGGGTTAGGTCCTGTGTCACTTGATGACATGGCTGACTACCACCCAGGGCAACAGCTGAGCCCTTAGTGGTGTCAGTGCCGCCGGCATCCTTAGGGTCCAGCAGTCAAGGCTCAGCCAGCTGAGGAGAAACCCCCCCCCCCCCCCCCCCCACCCCCGCCCCGAGCTGGTTCCAGCACTGGTCCAGGACTGAAGAGTTTCTCAAGGACCTTGAAGACCCCAGGAGCCCCTGCAGCAGGAAAGGCTGTAAGGAGGTCAGCCTGGGGCAGACACAGGGAGGGGAACTTTCTCGATACATATTTATTTGCCTTTTCATCCCATCCAGCAAGCACAGTGTTAATTTTATAAATTATAGACTAAATCAGCAAGGAGTGTGTGTGAAAACCGCATGCCCCAGGCCTCCCCCGCCCCAGGGTGAATTGGAAGTCCTGGCGTGGGCCGAGGCACACCAGGCAGCTGGTCAGGGTGCACGTGGGCCATAGGCCACCCTCACAGGGTTAAATCTTTAACAAGAGCCTCATGTTTGTTAGAAGGTGAGTCCCCAGCCCAAGCACCTAGCACCTCCCCACTGCAGCCCAGTGTGAAATCTTTGCCTTTTAGTGGGGATCGCTCCTGCCTGAGTCCTGGCTGTGGTGGGGACTCTGCAAGTTGCTAACCCAGCATCCATTCTCCTTCCTCCCTACTAACAGAACTCCGGTGCCTCTGCACAGCTCTGACAGTGGGCAGATGAGAACCATGTCCTGGCCTCCCTCGCAGCCTGGGGTGTGCAGCTGTGGCATGGAGGTGGGTGGTGCTAGGAGAGACTTTCGGGGAAGCTCCTGTGAAGGGGGCTCAGCTGCCACGTGCAGGGCCCTTCCCCTTTGCCTTCTTCCTGTCTGGAACATGGATGTGATGGCTGGTGCTGGGACAGCTGTCCTGAGAGCATGAGGAAAGAGTCACATCCTGAGGACAGTGATGCTGATGCACAACGCAGGAAGGACCCTGTGCCTTTGCTGACACAGAACCCAGGAAGGACCCTGTGCCTTTGCTGAGGCAGAACGCGGGTAGGACCCTGGGCCTTTGCTGAGGCAGAACGCGGGTAGGACCCTGGGCCTTTGCTGAGGCAGAACGCGGGGTAGGACCCTGGGCCTTTGCTGAGGCAGAAGGCGGGTAGGACCCTGGGCCTTTGCTGAGGCAGAACGCGGGAAGGACCCTGGGCATTTGCTGAGGTACCAGCCCCGGACTACTTAAGTTCAGCTTTTTTTAAATGTGAGAAAATAAACGCACCCCTCTCTAGTTTAAACCACAAACAAACAAACAAACAAACAAAGACCAGCCTGGGCAACATAGCGAAACCCTGTCTCTACAAAAGCAAAAATTAGCCAAGCATAATGGCACGGGCCTGTAGTCCCAGTTACTCATGAGGCTGAGGTGGGAGGATCACCTGAGCCCAGGAAGTTGAGGCTGCCTTAAGCAGTAATTGCATCACTGTACTCCAGTCTGGGCAAGAGAGGGAGACTGTCAGAAAGAAAGAAAGAGAGAGAGAAAGAGAGAGAGAGAGAGAGACAGAGAGAGAGACAGAGAGAGAGAGAGAGAAAGGAAGGAGGAGGGAGGGAGAGGAAAGAAAGAGGAAGGGGGAGGGAGAGAGAGGAGGGAAAAGGAAAGGGAAAGGAGGAAAGGAAAAAAGAGGAGGAGGGGGAGGAGGAAGAGAGAAAGGCGGGAGAGAGGAGGGGAGGGAAGAGAAAAAAGAATTTGGGCACCGGTGCCTCGCCTGCCTCTAATTGCTTTGAGGGACTGAGGCAGGCAGATCACTTGAGCCTGGGCAACATGGCGAAACCTTGTCTCTGTAGAAAAATAAAAAATTATGGAGTGTGGTGGCTCGAGCCTGTAATTCCAGCTACTCGAGGAAAGCTAAGGTGAGAGGGATCATGAGCCAAGGAAGTGGAGGTTTGCGCCACTGCACTCCCAGCCTGGCAACAAGAGTGAAACCCCATCTCAAAAAAAAAAAAAAAAAAAAAAAAAAAGAAAAGAAAATCAAATCTGTTTGAGTGTAGTCTTAGATCTTTGCTAGATCCTCTGGGCTGCTCCAGCTTCGTCAGTGCTTACGGCTCCACCTTGTGCTTACACATGATGGAGGTGGCATCTTTAAGCCCTCACAAACCTCATAGCAGACCCAACTTCTGTTGCTTTCTTCTGGAGCTTTCTCACTTCTCTCAGCCTTCATAGAATGGAGAAAGTTAGAACATGCTCTGGATTAGGCTTTAGCTGATTTAATCTTTCCATCAGACCACTAGAGTTTTCTCCATATCAGCAATAAGATTTTTACTTTCTTTTACCCATTCTTGTGTTCACTGGAGTAGCACTTTTAACTTCCTTCCAGAACTTTTCCTTTGTGTTTAGCAGTTTGGTACAGAGGCCTGCAGCTTACAGCCTATCTCAGCTTTGACACTTGACTTTCTCACTAAATCATTTCTAGCTTTGATTTAAAGTGAGCCTGTAACTCTTCCTTTCACTTGAACATTTATAGTCACTCTAGGGTTATTAATTCACCTAATTCGATATTGCTGTGTCTCAGGGAATAGAGGCCTAAGAAAGAGGAGACAGACAGAATGGCAGTTAGTGGAGCAGTCAGACACACACAACATTTTGGATGAGGGATTCTCTGTCTCTTATATGGTACAGTTAAAGCGGTGTCCCAAAACAATAACAATAGCATTGTAAAAGTGCTAGTCACCATAGCAGATATAATAATAATGAAAAAGCTTGAAATATTGCCAAGAATTACCAAGAAGAATAGCAGTAGAGACACAAGTGAGCACACGCTGTCGGAAGCATTGTGCTGTGGCAGACTTACCCACAGAGTTTACCACAAGCTTTCAATTTGTAAAAATCACAGTATCACCTGCAAAGTGCAACAAAGCAAAGCGATGCCTGAAGCCTAATATATCCCAATCTCGTCAATAAAAAGGCTTGCAAGGCTAATTTTTGGTCCTTGAGCAGCACCTTACAAGCCGTTTAACTAAAAGAATTAACACTACATTCAAAGCAAATCTCATGAGAAGAAATAATAAATGGTTAGTGCACATATAAAAGATTCACCTCTGAATTCTAATTAGGAAAATAATTATTAACACAAAGGAGGCTGGCTAGGTGTGGTGGCTCACGCCTTAGCCTGTTATCCCAGCACTTAGGAAGGCGTAGGAAGGAGTGGGCAGACAGCTTGAGCCAGGGAGTCGAGACCAGCCTGGGCAACATGGTGGGGAAACCTCATCATCTCTACAAAAAAAATACTAAACAGCCAGAATTGGTGGCACACACCTGTAGTCCCAGGATTGCCTGTGAAGGGCTAAGGCGGGGAGGAGGAATCACTTACAGGCCTAGTAGGTTGAGGCTGCAGTGAGTTGTGGAAATGAAACCACTGCATTCAGCCTGGGTGACAGAGTGAGGCCTTGACTCAAAAACAAAGAAAACAAAAACAAAAAAACAAAAGGATACATATATTGTAATATATTATTGTGAGAATATAAATTGGTACCAAGTTTGTAGAGAAAAATTTTCTAATATAGGTTGAGCTTATATAAAAATTTGAAATCTAAATGCTCAAAATTTGGAAAACGTTTTTGCATTGACATGATGTTTTTAAGGTCATTCTGAAAGAAATGTTGATTGTGCCAGTTCCCAGATTTTCAGGTGCAGAGATGCTCAACTGATAAATACGATGCAAATACTAAGCAATCAAAATCTGAAACACTTCTCATACCAAGTATTTCACATAAGGGATAGTCTATCTATAACTACCACAATTTAAAATGCATGTATCTTTTGACCAACAATTTTATTTCTAAGAAACAGCACTCTAGAGTTTAAGGAGATACACACAAGAATATTCACTAAAACATGATTTGAACAAGTGAAAATTGGAGTCAATGTGAGGAAATATTAGGTTGTAAAAGTTTCAAAGTAAATTGTGGTACATTCATGTGATGGTACATTTTATAACAATTTTATAAGATCCTTTAGGGAAGGAAGGGAAGGGGGGGGGAGGGAAGGAAAGGAGGGAGGGAGGGAGGGAAGGAAGGGCGGGAGGGAGGGAGGGAAGAGAAAAATTTGGGCACCGTGCCTCATGCCTCTAATTCCAGCACTTTGAGAGACTGAGGCAGGCAGATCACTTGAGGCCAGGAGTTCAAGACCAGCCTGGGCAACATGGCGAAACCCTGTCTCTGTGAAAAATACAAAAATTAGCTGGGTGTGGTGGCTCGAGCCTGTAATTCCAGCTACTCGAGAGGCTAAGGTGAGAGGATCACTTGAACCCAGGAAGTGGAGGTTTGCGCCACTGCACTCCAGCCTGGCAACAAGAGTGAAACTCCGTCTCAAAAAAAAAAAA